TTTTTTTGAGACAGAGTCTCCGTCACCAGGCGCCAGGCTGGAGTGCAGTGACGCGACCTCAGCTCACTGCCACCTCCACCTCTTGGGTTCCACCGATTCTTCCACCTCAGCCTCCCGAGTAGCTGGGACCACAGGCGTGTGCCACCACGCCCGGCTAATTTTTTTGTATTTTTAGTAGAGATGGGTCTTCTCCATGTTGGTCAGGCTGGTCTCAAACTCCCAACCTCAGGTGATCTGCCCGCCTTGGCCTCCGAAAGTGCTGGGATTACAGACGTGAAACACCACGCCCAGCCTCGTCCGTCTTTCTTAACACCCCATTATTTCCTTCTTGCAGTGTACTTATTACACTGTATTGAAATCCCTTATTTTCTCTTTATGAATTCCTTGAGAACACACACTATGTTTTGTTTAACTTTTTATCCCCAGCTTGCAGCACAGTGCTTGACTATCAGTACTCAATAAATATTTTGAATGAATAAATTACGGGCTAAATACTACATCAGTCTTATTTTGCGTGTTCAAGGGTGCTAAATAGTAGTCATATATAATTTCTTGTTCTACCAATAGCAATGTGAATCTTTTGCTTGTGTGCTCCCTGCAGACCTTCCTTTTGGGGATTGGAGTGCTAGTGCATTTTTGCACAACCAAGTCCCCATCTTATATCAGTTGTTTTGGTCCCTTCCATAATATTTTCAGAATACTGCTCCTTTAAGACCAGTGAAAGCCTGCTGGTAGAGGAAGAGGTCCTGCCCTGTCTGCGTAGATTTAGCTATACCCATTTGATGTGCTTCTTAGTCCCGTTGAACTTGCCTATTCATATATCCCTGTCTCATTTGTTCTTAGATTTGTCACAAAGGCTCTGGTTTTTGGCTTGTCCTGGTTTGAACTTGGTGTATCTGGCTCTTGACTCATTTTCTGACCTCAGGCCATCCTTAAATCTGCTTTTCTACTTTGTACCAGGCTTTGGCATCTCCGAGTACCTGACCTCAGCTCAACCTGTCTTGGGTTTTTTTTTCTCCTCCCTGACATTGACAACCCAGCCCTTTTAGGCACAGAGAGATGGAGCTGAGTGTGGTTTGCCTGAAAGAAAGCTTGCATTATGAGAGGGGAGAAACAGGTACATTGTGTTTTAGAAGGGAGCAGCATTTTAACTTCATGTAGGCATTGTTTTCATGACAATTTTCTCTTGTTTCTCCTTTTGTTATGAAATATGCATTTTGCCAATATTAAATGGAATATTCCAGAAGAAAAAAATAGGAAGTAAAATCTTGGTTGCCTCTTAGTAAAATAAAGCTGTATTTTTAGTTTCTTTTCCAACTTCCAGCTGTTGGAAAGGAAGGTGAAAAGAGGAAAACTTTAGCGTCTGGGGGAGATTTGGAGCTAGTTGAAATGGTACTGTTATGCTTAGTATATCTATAACTATATATTATTTTCATATATTATTCTATAATATCTTAACTGCTTTACAAAATATTTACAAAAATATTACAAAAAATATTTACAAAAATATATAATATCTTAACTGCTTTACAAAAATATTTTCATAAATTACAGCAATCCTGGCTTTAGATGATTGAAAAATGGCCATTTTTTAAACAATTCAACCAATTTCTAGCTTTTTTATGAGTATGGTATTAAGCACAGTAGTTTCTTAGAAAGTCTGCAGGGAATGTGTTTTGCAAAATAAAAATCAGCTAATGACACAGGAGAGGCTCTTCAGGCTTGTTTACAACTTTTTTAAGTGGCTTTTTTTTGTCGGGGTTTTTTCAGTCACTAGATAAAAAAATCATAGAAACTGTCACATCCAATCAATTGGTTTCTGTAATTCCAAAAGATTTAGACAAAGTGAAGAAAGCTTACCCACTGGAGGGCATGTGATGTCACCGGCATGTGATGAGATGCGCATATTTGTGGTGGACCAGGTGCTTGATATGAGAAGTGCTGGCAACGAGGAGCCAGCCTGGCCCAAATAACCACAAAAAAGAACAGATTTCAGACAGGCCGTTTTACAGTTTCCCGCTGGTTCTTTTGCCAACTTCCAGCCACTTCTTTCTCTAGCACTGATCAAACAAAACAAACGTTCATTCTTGAAATGTTCTGAAAATACAGGTCACTGGTTTCTTTTTGTTATCTTTAATCTGCTGTGTATCGACTTACCTTTCCACACTGATCCACTCAATTTACATTTAATAAAGCTTTCAAATTAACTGCATACTAAAAACATAATCTAGTTAGGGGGGATGAAGTCTGTTTAAAAGTGTGGTTTTTTTTTTTTTTTTTTTTTT